CAAACTTCATCTCTCATACTTCGAACATATTGTCAGGGGGGTGAAGGATATCATGTTTGGTAAGATGGAGGGTCAGAGAAAAAGAGGAAGACCCCAACAAGATGGATTGGCCAAGTGGCAGCATTGATGGACTCAAGTGTGGCAACAGTAGTGAGGTTGGCCCAGGAGTGGACAGTGTTTCATTCTGCTGTGCACAAGATCGCTATGAGTTGGTACCAACTCGATGGCACCTAACAAAACCAACAACAATGTGCAAAATATTAAACAACACAGGACGTACCAAAGAATATGGAATACACAGAGTCACTGTACCAAAAAGAGTTAGTTGATATTAAATCATATCAAGCAGTACCATATGGTTAAGAACCGATGGTATTGAAAGAAGACGTTCAAGTTGCACTGAAGGTAATGGTAAAAACAAATACTCCAGGAATTGATGGAATACAAATTGAAATGTTTCAACAAACTGATGCAGTGCTGAGGTGGTCAATTTTGTACGCTAAGAAATTTGGAAGCAGCTACCTACCTGGCCAACCGATTGAAAGAGATCATTTGAGAATCCAGCTTAAACCACTGGAATCTTCTGTTAATGTACTGCTGCAACCATTTTTGAATTATCTTAAGCAAAATTTTACTTGCATGTGTTATTAATAATATTATTTGATGATTTTCATATTCCATTGGGTTACGTTTCTTTAGGATGATACATCTTTGCTTGCTGGAAGCGAAGAGGACTTGAAATACTTACGAAGATTAAAGACTTCAGTATGAACTGCACCTCAATGTAAAGAAAAAGAAAATCCTCACAGCTGGACTAATAACATCATGATAACTGAAGAAAAGATTGAAGTTGTCAAAGATTTCATTTTGCTTGGATCTACAACCCATGTTCATGGAAGCAGCAGTCAAGCGATCAAATGACATACTGCATTAGCCAATTTGCTACAAAAAGACCCCTTTAAAGTGTTCAAGAACAAAGATGTCACTTTGAGGACTAAGATGTGCCTGACTTAAGCCATGTAATTTCCTATACATGTGAAAGTTAGATAATGAATAAGGAAGACCATACAAGAGTTGATGCATTTGAATTATGATGTTGGAGAAGAATATTGACAGTACCATGAATTGTCAGAAGAACAAACAAGTCTGTCTTAGAATAAGTACAACCAGAATGCTCCTTAGAATCGAGGATGGCAGTACTTCATCTCTCATCCTTTGGACATGTAATCAAGAGAGATTAGTCCCTGGAGAAGGCCAGGATGCTTGGAAAAGTGGAGGGTTTGTAAAATAAAAGGAAGACTCCTAACAAAATGAATTGACACAATGGCAGCAACAGTGGGCTCAAACATAATGACAGTTGAGAAGGTGATGGAGGACTGGCAGTGTTTAGTTCTGTTGGGGATAGGGTTACTATGAGTCAGAACTGACTCAAAGACACCAAAGAAGAGCAACATTTCAAACGAAAGGAAAAGGGCACCATTCTAAACTTTGCAATCAGAGAATGGCCCTTTTTCTCCTGTGCTGAATGTCAGCAAAATGGTTAGAAATGGTGAACATTTATAAATATCACTAAGGCCACATAGCAATGGATATGACCATCTACTAAGCAATTGAAAGGGCTTTAAAATTCAGCTTTAACCTGCTGTAGGATCTCCATAATTCTAGTGAGCTCCAAGATCTTTGATCTGGTATCGCTGTTTGAACAAAAGTATCAGATGATTAAGAAAAGAAGAAAAATATTCCCAACCTCCTATGTCTTCTGTTTTCTTCTTTAATCATCTTTCCAATCTCCTACAATTTCATTCTCTCTTGAAACTCTCCCAGAACAATTTCATACCAAAGTCAGTAATCACAGCAATTTGGAAGGAATCTGTTTGTCGTAATGGGACAATATAAGAATATAAAGATTAGAGAATCTGGTTTGAGCCACATGCATCCTACCCTTGTCCTTTTCTGTAAGATCTACCTTCCTTTTTTATCCTGGCAGTGAAATTTAAACTTTGGGAGTCCTGGTGTGCCACTGTGGCATAAAGCCCTGGACCAAAAGGTCAATGTGAACCACAAGATTGATAGATCAAACTCATCAGCCGCTCCTTGGAAACCCTGTACGGGGTCACAGTGAGTTGGAACCAATTCGATGGCACTTAACAACAACATGTCCTGGTGTGGCACTGTAGGATAAGCACTGGACCACAAGTTTGGTTTGAACTGCAAGGTTGGCAGTTCAAACTCACCAGCCTTCTCTGGAAACCCTATACAGGGTCACTATGAGTCAGAACTGACTCTACGCCACTTAACAACAACAACATGGTCATTACACTCATTCCTGTAGCCTCTGGTATGGCCCGTCATCTTCATTGTTTGTATTTTACCCTTTGTTTCAACATACTCAAAATGACCACAGGGTAATTTGACCCCTCTTGCTTGGCCATGAGAATCCTCAAAAACTTTCCCATGGCCAACAATTCCATCACTTTCTGATTTCCCCTCAGAAGTCAGTCTTGGAAAACCAAATGTGCAACAGAAAATTAACAAGTCCCAGGTGTAAAGGCAATGGATGAATTCTGGGTAAGTATTGTTCTGGTGAAGTAGTAGGTTATATGTTGGGTTACTAATCACAAGGTCAGCAGTTTGAATCCATCTGCAACTCCATGGGAGAAAGATGAGACTTTTTGTTCCTGTAAAGATTTACAGCCTCAGAAGCCCTATATGGGGTCACTACGAGCCAAAACCAACTATAGAGCAAACAACCACACTACCACCATAATCTAGAGCTATCCACTTTACCTGGCATGTCCTAGGCCTTGCAAGCCACTAACTCCCTCATTTATATTAACTTTCTTTTATACTTTATGGGACACAATAATCTAGCAAATAACTTCAATAATAGTTTTGGAGCTCAAACATAAGACCATTTTTTTAGTTGTTCTTTCGTGCCATCAGGTATTCAGAAATAGATATGGAATCGATTTTACTCTTTTGTGTTTTGCAGAGGTGGGGAACTGATCTAACCCTAACTACAGTGTCCTCATTTGTAAAAGGATCCACGATGGAATAAGTGACTCTTTTCTGTGGAGTTCACAGTACAAGAAGAACATCCTGCTTTTGTGGTCAACATTCTCATCAGATTGCTAATTATCAGGGCATTTGGAAGTTTGAGTTAATATTACCTGGGTTGTAGTTAGGTAACTTGGAGACTCCAGGCCAATTGTCTTCTGTAGGGACTCCCAATACCTATTTAAAGAGAAGAAAGGTGAGAGTGGAGACAAGGCAGTTAAAGCAGATACAGATACATGAAGGACAGATGGGGGAGAAATCGAGAAGCAGATGCATGTCACATTAGTCTAGCTGTTGTTTATAGAAAGGAACTTCAGTGTTTCCAACATTGGTAACTTCTTTAGTGTTTCTATAACTGTGTAGTATATTCCTATGGTCTCAAACTTGTGTTTTCACTAATTCATTTGTTATTCTGAGGCAGATCAGATGTGGTGGTTGTTGTTATGTGCCGTGGAGTTGGTTCCGACTCATAACAACCCTGTACAGGGTTTCTGAGGCTGTAAATCTTTACAGGAGCAGAAAGACTCATCGTTCTCCTGTGGAACAGCTGGTAGTTTCAAACTGCTGACCTTGCAGTACGCAGCCCAGTTCATAACCACTATGCTACCAGAGCTCCTTGAGGCAGATCAGATAGGCTTCCTTAAAGTCCAGTACTCATCACTAAACATTAACGGCATGATCATCATGTTTCAGGACTCCATGCTGGGATTAGAAAGGTAGGAGTCAATGTCTTTCTGCCTTATACTCGATGACCATATGCATGTTGACAGGAGACATCTGACAGGATAAATTATGCCTCAACATGGACATTCAGCTGTTCTCTGATGGGATCAAGTTAAAAAGGATTCAAGTTACTGACCTTTAAGCAGTGGAAGGCTGGCTAAAAATGATCCCAACCTTTCTACCAAATTCATCTCATCTGCTTATTTTCTCTGTGGTCCAGCAACTTGGAATATGGTATTTGGTTTATCACTGTTAGATTGTAATGGTAACATATTCTAGATGGAGCTGTCACAAGGTGTACCCAGTAGGTATCACCTTTCCATTCTGGTAAGTAGATCATGTAATTATCATAAAACTCATAAATCCAATGAAACCCACTACCATCAGTTGGATTCTAAGTCATAGAGATCCTATAGAACCCATCAATAGGGTTTCCAAGTCTGTAAATCTTTACGGAAGTAGACCGCTTCATCTTTTTCCCATGGAGTAACTTGTGGGTCAAACTGACAATTTTTCTATTAACCTAATCCACTGTACCACCAGGATTCCTTATAAAACCCATAGTCAGTAACATATGGGAGCCAAAGTAACATTGTTTTAGTATTAGTAGAATATGACTATCTTTCATTGTTGTAGTTATTAAGTTCCATCGAGTTGATTCTGACACATAGTGACCCTCTATATGGAGCAGTGAGTTTGAACTGCCGACTTTAGGGTTCAGATCGATCTTGAGGTTCAGTGCATTATCCTACAGCGACTCCGTATCTCTCAGTACACCACTAAAATACAACTCCTATTAGAATCATCTCTCATGGAAAGAGTCTTGAGACTCCATCTGCAAAGGTCTGGGGATATAGATGCCAGCTCAATTTTTCTGGCAGGAAGTCCGTTGCCTAATCTTGAAAATAATCAATCCAGAAAATAAAGAATCCAGAATCTTAAAAATCTACCAGTTTGCTAACTAGGACTCTGATTGAGAAGTACACTTTCTGATGCCGTATTAAGTTTGTCCTTACACAAAAGACACTGAAGTGCTATTTTCCCTTATTTAAAAAAAAAAAAAATCATTGCACCCAGTAAAATCTTTCTCCTTTGATCTGTTCCCTAAACAAACTGAAAAGCTACTGAGAGGATTATAGGCTTTTCTTATTAACCATCCTGATCCTGAAGAAACACTAAGAATCCTGGAATCCATTTTGAAAAACCAACTGGACTAATTCTTCTTTTGTGGGAGAGGACCAGAGGATAGGGAACTAATTCTTCTATTCTACCACATCATCTAATGTCCTTGCACAGATGCATGTGTCAACAAGTGGGTGTGAGTCACGTGTGCCCATACATCTTGTGTTGGCTGGAAAGCACAATGAAGAGAAAGCAAAGACAATGAAGAGAAGCATCAAAGGAAGCACATAATGACTACATTGATATCTTCTCTAAGGTGAAGTTACCAGAATTGTCGGTTACTCCTTACTACATTTAACAATAAAATGAATATACTTTTTAAATGTTAGATTTTAAGTTTAAACAAAAATGGAATGTGCTTTGTTTGTGAGATTGATGCTCAAGTTTCTATTTGGAAGTTATTGAATTACACTTCAGAAAATTACTAAATCTTCACTTCACTGTCTGGGAAATTAACAACCAAAAATCATTGATTTACTCTTCCCTGAAAGCTCTTAAAAGGCAACTACTGAATGCTATGTTGCAATCACAGTGGGCTAGAGCAGAGGTTTATCTGCCTTTTGAAACAGAAACAAAAGACACTAGGATGAGTGGATTTAAAATCTACATAGTTTATTTTATTCTGATTTTAGAACTGAATCCTTAGTTATTTGTTAAAACAATTTCTTGAAAGAAATCATTTTTTTTTTTAATTGGCTAGATACTGCTGGTAGCTAATCAGATGTAAACATACACATTCACTTAAGGAAGATGGTAAAGATTCAGAACTCTTCTTTATGCCTTTATTTCTAATAGTGGCATCTCAGGAAAAATGTAGAGGAAAATTGTAGATAGAAGTTGGAAGATTTAGAATCGACCCATTGCTTTCAACAAAGTGATTCTTACATCAAATATCACAGAACCTAAAATACAGCTCTCCTATTTTTCTATGTATCAACCACATTTAGTGAAACACAAATTCAAGGACTATTTGTAATACATTTAATTTTATAACCTGCTTGAGATACACCAGTACAAAAGACAGTACAGATCCTGAATGTGGCAACTGCCTCTCATCTTCAGCTCTCGGACCCACAGATGTGATTACAAGCCTGGTGTCTACCAGCTTCAACCGGAGGGGTGGGGGTGGGGAAAATGAAATTGAATGAATCTGACCTCTTGGTATCCATAAAGTTCATAGCTAAAAAAAGGAACTCTCTCTTTGAAGTAGAGATTGAAAGTCAGCGATGAATTATGTAAACTGATAAACTTGTGAAGTAATTTATTGAGGATAAAATTAAAGGAACAGAGAAGAACAGTGATTACAAATGGTGGGAGCAATAATATTCCCTTCCAGCATTGTTCAAAGAAGTTACAATTTCATGAAATCAGAGAATCAAATACAGTTTAAGACTCTGAGGCCAACAAGGGAGGTTGGTTATGTGATTTGTTCTACTTCACATCTCAAGTTAGAGCTGGGTTTGGAACTTGCGTCCCTTGACTTCAAGTCAGTGTTATTTCTAATATGTTTATTTGTTTTACATTTGTAATGAGCTGTCATAAATGTCAAAATAAAGTCCCTTTGATTTACTGCCGTGTGATAAAGATAGTGGCAGAAATGAACATAGCTTCCTGGGCAGGGCCTGTTGGCTGATTTGTTAAGACATGTTTGTTTTTGCTTCATCACTCATTCTTTGGTACTGCATGTCCAGATTCAAATTCAGATTTATTCATCTACAGAATTACCTAAAATATCCTTCAGATGGCCAGTGTTAATCACTAAGACCAGTTCTGAAAACTTGAACTTTCCCATCAGATCCTGGGAAACATGTAATCTAGTCTTCTGTTCTAGGATTTCTCAATGCTGTGCTAAATGCAAAGAGCTGTAAATGATTCCTTTTTAAATTATGGTCATTTAAAAACAGTAAATTATATAAAAATAGTTTATATACAACTTTTCAAATGTAGTAATAGCACAGAAGAATATGCTAATATTAATACTTATTAAAATAATACTTTTTTTAATGACAACCCCATCTGTGTTAGAGTAGAAAGATGTACCTAGAGAACAATGGCATCAGGTGCTCTCGGAGGACAAGGTAATAATAGCAATAGGGAACAGAAGACTTGAACTTCATCAGTGAGGTGGATTCATGGACAGCGAACGGCCAACAGGAAGTTTCCTGACCACTCATCCCCAAGGTGCTTGCATCTATGGTAAATACCAACCTTAACTATAGTGACTTAGTGTCTCAAAGCAGATGGACTGCTTCATCCGCCTCTAACGCAAATTTGATTCAAAGTTTGAAATACAGATTATTTCTTTTAAAGCTTAGGAGGAGGAATACGTCTCTTACCTCCCAGATCTTCTCCAGCTGCTCAAAGATGTTAGAAACCCCAGGAAACAAAGGTTGACCCTGGAACATTTCAATAAAGATGCAGCCTGCGCCCCTAGCAAAAGAAACAAGAGTCAACACAATGCTTTCAAGAAAACCATACATATGAAACAAAACTATTAGCAATTCTCCTTTCAAGAAGTATTTTTGGGGATACACAAATGGAACACAACTAGCAGTTAGAAACACAGTACGAGTCTAGATTGCAAACATGTTAGCTCATCAGGCTTATTAGATATCTGTTTTATGAGAAGGGGAGAAAGTACTGAAACCTCAAATCTCATGCCCTTATTCATTGAATCTATCAATGTTGACAGTTGTAAGAAACACCATTATTTTAAGTATCATTAATAAAACAAAGCAAAAAACAAGAAAACCTTTGTAGAATTAGACATGCTGACCAAAATGTTTATTTTATACTTATTTAAATGATTGTTTTAGATTTAATTACAGATATCTTTATTCTATAGCATACTCATATATGCAAAAGAGTGAAATATTAAGTGAAATAAATTGGTTTGTTGTTGTTAGATGCCATAGAGTCTATGCACAACAGAATGAAACACTACCCAGTCCAGCGTCAGCCTCACAATTGCTGTTACATTTGAGTCTAGTGCTCTTGTCACTATGACAACCCATCTTGTTAGGGGCCTTCTTCTTTTTCTCTGATCCTCCACTTTACCAAGCATGATGTCCTTCTCCAAGGATTGGTCCCTCCTGATAACATGTCCAAAGTATGAGAGATGAAGTCACGCCGTCCTGACTTCTAAGGAGTATTCTGGCTGTACTTCTTACAACACAGATTTGTTATTTCTTCTGGCAGTCTGTGGCACTTTTATATTCTTCTCCAAAACTATAATTCAATTGTATTGATTCTTTATGGTCTTCCTTATTCATTGTCCAACTTTAACATACATATGAGGGGATGGAAAATACCATGGTTTGGGTCAGTGTATCTTAATCCTGAAACTTTAAAGAGGTCTTTTGCAGCAAATTTGCCTAACACAATACATTGTTTGATTTCTTAACTACTGCTTCCATGAGTGTTGATTGTGGATCCAAGCAAAATGAAGTCTTCAAAAACTTCAATTTTTTCCCCATTTATTAAGTTATTTATTGGTCAAGTTGTGAGGATTTTTGCTTTCTTTACATTGAGAGGCTATCCATACTGAAGGCTGCAGTATTTCATCAGCAAGTATTTCAAGTCTTCTTCACTTGCAGCAAACAAGGATGTATCATGTGTATATCACAAGTTGCTAATGAGTCTTCCTCCAATCCTGATGCCATGTTCTTCTTCATATAATCCAGTTTCTCAGATTTTTGTCCAGTGCACAGATTGAATAAATACGGTGATTCAATACAACTCTGGTACACAACTTTCCTGATTTGAAACCACTCAGTATCATCTTATGCGGTTCGAACGACTGCCTCTTAGTCTATGCACAGGTTCCTCTTGAGTGCAATGAAGTGTTCTAGAACACCCATTCTTTACAGTGTTACCCATAGCTTGTCATGGTCCACACAGTCAAAAAGCCTTTACATATCAATAAAGCACAAGTAAATATATTTCTGGTATTCTCTGCTTTCAGCCAAGATCTAGCTGATGTCATCATTGTTTTCCTACTTCTACGTTTTCCTCTGAATCAGACTTGAATTGCTGGCAGTTCTCTGTTGATGTACTCTTGCAACCATTTTTGAATTATCTTCAGCAAAATTAGCTTATATGTGATATTAATAATATTGTTTGACAAGTTCCACATTCCATTGGGTCACCTCTCTGGAATGGGCAAAATATGAATCTCATTCAATCAGTTGGCCAGGTAGCTGTTTTCCAAATTTCTTGGCATAGATGAGTGAGTGCCTTCATTGTTAAGACAGGCTAGAAAACTGGTTTAGGTATTCCTAAAAAATTTTTACCTTTGGGATTCCACCCAGACTCTTTGATGTGTATGTTTACCCACAGTATCATCCACTCTAGCAGGAGTCTGGTGATGCAGCATTTCTTAAAAGAATATATGAAAAGATTAAGAGCCAGTGGCACTGGGTTCCTAAAGTAGATTTGTAATTACAGAGTCAGCCTGCTTTTGAGTCCTGCTTAAAGAATGTTGCTAAACACGTCTGATTCACTCTCTCCCCACAACAATTTGGTTCCTAGGGATAAAAAAAAAAAGAAGAAACCCTTGTTTGTCTGAAAGATTTTCTTTCAAGCCACTGACAATCCACTCTGCAAGTTTTGATGCTGGCATGTTTGATGCTCACATATGTGCAGTGGTGAATACCATCACAGCCACAGCCTTTGTTGTTGTCAAGGGCCAAGGTTCTGATTCATAGTGACCCTGTATTGCCAAGGCTGCAGGGTTTCCAAGGAGCAGCGGGTAAGTTTGAACTTCTGGCCTTGTAGTTAGCAGTCCAGTGCTTTTCCTACAACGCCACACCAGGAGTCCACTTTTGTAACAGGCCACTGATTTCTGGTGTGGTGCAGTGGGCTAATGCGTCAGACTGCAAAGTCGTTTGAATTGCAAGGTCGGTGGTTCAAGCTGGTTCAAGCTCACCAGCTGCTCCTTGGAAACCCTATACTGGATCACTATGGGTTGGAATCAACTGGACGGCACTTAACAATAACAACAAAAGGAAAATGTTGATTTTTAAATAGATTAAATAGATTTTCTTCCCTATGTAATCAAACCAGAGAATAATTTCAAAGGGATAGTAAAGGAGTAAGGTTTATTGTGCTAATAATGAAATTTTAATTATTAGTCTTTTGAATGCTAAAATGGTTCAGGTTACCAATCAATTGCCGAGATTATCTTCTTCACCCAATATTTCTCAATTTTCTTTGACTCCCATAACACAAAGTTTTGCATGCTTCCTTAAATTGTTTTACCATTTTTGTGTAGCATAATAAAGAATAACTTTTTAGTAAAATAATTTATTATAGATCATTATAGCAAAGATTTATTAACAAGTTCATTTAAAATGTGATCTCTAACATTATTTATGAGTCCTGGTGTGACACTGTTGGATATGTGCTGGATAGCAAAGTCAATTTGAACAGCAAGGTTGGTGGTTCAAACTCGCTAGCTGCTCCTTGGAAACCCTATACAGGGTCGCTGTGAGTCGGAATTGACTCAAAAGCACCTAACAACAACATATGCATTCATTGTTGTTTTGTTATTAGGTGCCATTGAGTACGTTCTGACTCATAGCAACCCTATGCAAAACAGAACGAAACACTGCCTGGTTCTGTGCCAACCTCACAACTTCTGCTATGCTTCAACCCACTGCAGCTGCAACTGTGCCAATTCATCTCATTAGGGGTTTTTCTCTTATTTGCTGACCCCCCCCCACTTTATCAAGCATGATGTCCTTCTCCAAGGACTAGTCCCTCCTGACATGTCTGAAATATGAGAGATGAATATGCATCCGTTACAGACAATAAATTTTTACTTTTTCCATCAGACTGTAGACATATGCTAATGAATTTACTTTAAATCACTTGTGGAAAAGAAAAGTTTATTGTCAACAAATTTAAAAATACTTGGCTTGGGAACTAAATATGTTAAAAGAAAGATAGAAAATTTTATGTTATCATGCCAAAATAAAAACTATTTTCATGATCTGACATTTGGTTTGCACTTAATCAATTGGTTTATTCTTAGAATTTCCTAAGAGAAAATATCAGACAGCTTTGCAAGGCTTTTTTTTTTTTTTTTAGAAAGCTAATTCTCTTTACTGGTTTTTAAAGTACAGAGACATTTTGATGTGTGATATGTTGTAGGAGAGAAAAGAGACCCTATCTCAAAGACATGAATATTATAGAGACTCTTTATTAAGTCTTAAACACAAGCAAATACAAGACATGAAAACATAGATCAGCCAGATAAGGGAAATCATCAATGACACCATGATGAGTTTCCAAAGTTCTAGCTCCGTGTGGTGACCTTTTATATGGCACAGAGAATACAGGGATCTCCTCCCACAACCATGGCTGACACATGCCTGGCCTATGGAAATCATGGAGGGACTATTGTAGATAGGAAAGCTTGCAGATTGCCTCTGAGGTTTTCAGGATATGATATTACTACATTAAGGAGTGTGTCCAGGAATGTTCCAACAAGGGCTGGCTGGGCAAAATGGTCCAAATCCACTTTTAAATATACTCTGCCTTTAACTCTGGGAGCTCAGCTCTCAGGGGTGCATGAGGTACTCAAGAAAAATTGGCATCTAAATACTTAAATCTAGGCACAAACTGGAATTAAGCTCTGCTTGGCTGGAGTCGTTCACAAGCAAAAAACCTTCAGATTTCATGCTGTACAGCAGATAAAAGAATGTTTATCAGACAAATGCAGTGTATGAATCTGGAAAGAGTATCTTCAAGTGAATTTTTGGAATTACTGTCATTTTTAATCCCTTCATTAACTTGAATTTAAATGTTCATGTTCTTTTTGCTTTTTATCATTAAAACAATAGCTATAAAAGGTATAAATCGAGAAGAATAAAAGCAACAGAGAGCAGTCCAGTGGTCAAAAACCATCTTGGTGCCTAGCAATGGTCAACTAAGAGATAAACCAACTAAGAAACCAAATTGGCTAGAACCATGTAATAGTTTCCATCTACATTTTCCCATGATTTCTCAGTATGCATTTTGAAGGTCTCAGACCATTCCATTTTGAAGTGATGTGTGTGTCTATATATGCAATATGCATACAACTGTTTTATTGGTTGATCATAAAATAAAAATGAAAATGTAATGACTTTTGAAGACTTGAATCCACCCATCTCTAAACATCTTCCAGAAAGCAAAGTAATTCACAAATCACTAGTTAAAAAACGTATCTTGAGAATATTGTACTTCACATCTCCTCAGCTCCCCATTCTCGAAAAGGATTTCCTGGTCTAGAAAGCTTATTGTCTACATCTGGTGTCTTTTCATACTGGTCATCGTGGGGTACCATGGAGGGTCTTTTTGAATAACAATTTCTGAGTCTTTTATACTCCTAGGATTGTGTACCACTTTATGTGAAATATATTAGAGAAAACTAGAAAATTCAGCCC